TGCAACTTATCGCTCTCCCCCACCCCAAAATTTGTTGTGGCAATGAAGATTCATGAAGATCAGAGACCTGCAAGATAAGCTGGCATACTAAAACCCACCAACAAAGAGGAGATTTAACTGATTCAATACTAGCATCTTGAAACAGCTCATCTTCTTTAAATTCAAAAATTCAAGGACTTTCCTTCTCAAGATTGATATTGTTGGTGCCAATATCAGCGAGGTCTCATCTCACCCTGAGCTTGGTTTTGAGGGAAAAGTCCTAATATTTATTCTTGTAGGGATGCTTCTGTGGACTAAAAGCATATCAGACAGACTTTAAACCCTAACAGCACAAAGTAACAAGGCCCCACAAATAAACCTGAAGGTTTAAACACTAAATCTCGTTACAAGAAACACAGTATCAACACACACGCACACACTCTGTAAACTTGCTGAGTTTACCCTCCCTACTGAGACAAGGAAAACAAAAGAAAAACCTCACATAAAGGTAAGAAAGATGGAAACAGCAACATCAGGACGTTTTTTTCCCTTTTGAATTATCTAATGTAGAGTTCAACTACATCCCAGGAAAAGGTAAATTTTAGAAGCTACCTGATTCAAAGACTAAGAGCTAGCTACTGATTTACACTTAAAAGTGAGGGAACAAAATGAAGATGTAATTTTGGTTAGTTCTGGCTCTCAGATTCCTTTTAACTACTGAACACACCATCTCTAAAATTTAAAGACAGGATTTGCTATTTGACTGAGGAAGTGCATGTCAAAGTCTAAAGACACCCTTCACTTTCAGGCAGGAAGTTCAGAGTATAGAAACCATGCCACAGATTTAAACCACAAAAGACATTTTATGGTATTTTATTTGCTGATGAAGATCCAGAAACAGAAGGGATGAAGGAAAAAAGGAATAAACCAAAAATACTCTAGTTATTTCAGTACGACTAGCTGTGGAGATGCTTCTTCAGAACTTGTAGCAGATGAAAACTAAGTTTACTGTAACTGCTTTGACTTCTACATGTATATACACATACACGTCATTTTGTACGTGATGCAGTTTTGCACTGGTGTTATGCCCAAATGGAAAATTCCAGGCAAAACAATGTTATTAAAGACAGACAAAGCCTTTCCTTAGAGTGAATCACATACCAGTAAGAAATTACATCTTGTTACAAACACCAAATACTAAATCCAGATAGAATGTAAAGGAATGACGCCTGCTTTTTATTATTCAAACGAGGATATGAAAAACCTTTTGCCAAATCTACCATGCTGGCTGGAGGATTATTTAGTGTATACTACATCCAGAAAATAGGAAAAACTGATGTACAAAATATCAGATCTTGGGTTGGCATCTCTTAGAAAGCTGGGTAGTCACCCTCACCAAAAGACAAGGGCAGACAACCTTTGAAATCCTGGGAACATAATGCTCATCTAGACTTCAGACTGAAAACTTTACAATACTCCCAAGCACACTTTTCTACTGGATTTCGTACATGTGACTGTGAAAGGAAGAAGGAAGGAAGGATGGATGGACAAGGGAACCAACAACACTGAAATGTGTTTGTAGCCTCCTAACCCATCATGTCAAGCTGAGAGTAATTAAGAAATGATGTGTTTAATAATGATCTACCCAAAGTGTTCTCAGGGACACATGAGTACAGACTCAGTACCCAGCCACTAGTCAAATCACCATTAATTTCTGAACAGAAAAAAAGGGATGACATCAAGCTTTAACTTGATGTTTTTAGCATTATAAAAAGTTTGATGTTTTTAGCATTATTAAAAGCCATCAGTGTGTATGTTTTTACAGAAACGGGGACTGTTTACGTGAGTCCTGACATTAACTTTAGTGTGCAAATGCAAAACTGAAAACCTGACAGTGTTTTGTTCCAAGTGCCGTTATTGGAAATGCCTTGCAGAGCAACAGATTGACATGAAAACAACATATTGCTATGCTATAGCCTCTTTTCCATGTCTTGTTTTTTAAAAAAAATCATTTTTATTTTAACATCAGTTATTTTCCTACCAGTGTATTTTAGCAAATGCAAACTGTACTTCCTATGATCATCAAGATGGCAACACATCAGACGTTAACACAGGCGAAGAATACCGGTGCAGAATTAAGAGCACAGCACCTTTACTTCAGGAGAAAAAACAGACAGTAATTGGGTTGAGGGGAAGCAAGCAGGTCAGTAACTAGGTCACTCAATGCCATTTCCTTCATCTTCAAGCTCTTTGAAGGTAATTCACTTTAAGATGAATTACTCAAAGACGGTTCCCCAAAAACCTCATGCAAAATCTATTCATGGGTTCAACTACCCCCAAAATTGTGTAGCCTAATATACACATCTGGAAGAACTACAGCAAAACCTTAATAAGTCCCATGTAATTTACAGGTTCCAATTTGATTTTCTAATGCTCTTTGGAAGGTAAGACTAGAATTGATGTTTCAGACCAGTTTTAAGGGGAAAATTTAATCATATAATAAATTGCATTAGTTCATTTCAGTGCAAACAAAAGTACGTGTCACAAGTCTACAGAATTTTGTCCTTTCCATGTATCAGTTTACCCCAGTATCTTTAATACTTTTTATAATTTACTTTAAAAGCATTCCTTAGCATTAAAATCCTCAAACCTGTTTTGGTTTTAAATATTTTTTAAATATATTTTTAAATATATGAAAATATCTGTAGGAATAACTATATACTGACACAGCAACCCTGCATTCTAAACTTATGAATACACGAGTGTAAATTGATAATTACATTTGATTTTTATTATTCTGTGTGATAACCTGAAGAATCCCTTACCATACTAAGTGAAGTTTTGGATCTAAACTACACTGTAAAATGCCTTCCATTTCAAAGCACCAATAATAATCAGGACACCGGAAGCATGATTTGTGAAAGCAGGAAAGAACATTCCTTAACCTGGTATTTGATGCAAACACTTTTTGTACATAATGAAACGTGTTTCTAATGGAGTGCCACCAGAATTTTAATTTGGAGATTATCAACATTGGAACGGCAATGGCATGTGTATTTACATCATCTGAAGGCTGTACTAAGCAAAAGTATTAGAGGTCACACTCCTAAATAAGTAAAAGCAGGATGTATGTGGTGAAGCGAAAAGGTGAGGTCGAGTTTCCTAAAATTCCAAACAACAAACTGAAAGCTAATATCTTCACCAAGAAAGCAAACGAAGCATTACCCTTACAGCTCTTTCAAATAAGTCTTCTGATCCTATTTCCCAGCAGTGCTTAGGGACCAAAACTAGATTAAACTTGCACGCGTTGCAGAGACATCCTCCCAGTCCCAATACTCAGGGGTTTGGTATTATTTTTGTTCTGTTTTGGGGAAGTTTTTTGGTGGGGGTGTTTGGGTTGCTTTGCTTTTCTGATTGTTTTTATTATCTGACAGCAAAAACAAGGAATAATCTGTCCTGTCCAATTTTATCCAGAGACACAAATTTTCAATATTCTATGTAAGTCAGAAATATTTTGAAGTGTATTGTGGGTAAATAAACAGATATGTTCTTTATAGAGCTATTTTGCAAACTAAAAATTATATACTGAGATGTATAAGGTAAGAAATTAAAGCATAATTTTATTTGCGATCTAGTCATAATTGTAATGTTGAAGTAAGCAAGGTAACAGAAAGAAATGTATTACAAGTTCTGTTCTCTATGGCCCAAATTAAACATTTTACTCCCATTTGTGCAGAAGGTCGTAAGAATATAGAAGAATTGGAGGGATTTTCATAATCTTAAAGACTCTGCATGAAGGAAATCTCCGTTTCCTCTACACAGTTTAAATGAATAGTTAGTACAAAGCTGGAGGAGAGTACAGAATGTGTTTAGTGCAGAATGATTTCTCTTTTAAAGCATCAAGCAAAACTGTTTGGGTCCTTCCAGAACAGCAGGTGTAAATGATATAGCCCAGCAACCTGCTTGCCACCTCCTGCAAAGAATACTTCTACTTTCATGCCTATGCACAGATTGTTAGAATATCATCACTGCAAGATCGCTGGAGCTCAGTGTCTTCTCAAAGTAGTGGTGTTTAAAAGTAATGCATTAGTAAAACAAGAGACCTTAAGAGTCAAGAGAAACAGGGAGAGATCTAGTTCATAAAATACATAACGCAGGTCCAAGTTGGAAGCATGATTTAAGAAATAAAAACAAAAAAATCCACCTTAGTTTAGGAAAGCACTTAAAAAGCTCCCCCCTAAAACTGAAATTCCGTGGTTTTACTGTATACCCTCTTTGCCGTGTATCTGCATGTCTACAACCCCCAATCTCATAGCACTCTTTAATATATTCTATTATGTTCCTTTGACATCTTCTGCAAGAAAGGAATGGTTGTCATAAACGGTTTTTATCAGTCAGTAAGATTGTGACAACAGAAGAAGAAAGCTCGAGGCCAGCGGAAAGGCACCAGAAGTTAGCAGACACAGATGCGGGACAAAGAACTACTGAACTGAAGCTAGGATCATCCACATGTGCTATGCATGATGTGACTAAAGTCACTTGTTTTCTCTACCTAACTGCTCTCCTCCTCTTAAGGACTGAGAAATAGTAACTATCTTGCCTCTGAAGAAATTATAATGGAAGGCACTCCCATGAAAAGAATGGAGTCCTCTGCATGAAGATGTGTGTTCTGAACTGAAAGTGGTCAGAAAGATTAAGTTTTGCAGAAAGATAAATGTATTCCTGATGCAGAAACAGCTGTTTCTACTAACATTAGCAATAGGAAAATGTCTTTATATTCACCTCCATTGGTTAGAGCCTAAGTGGACAGTAAACAGAGTAAAGCCATTGTGAACTGCAGCCTATCAAATATTATAAAGCACCTATAGCAGCAGCCAAACAAAATCTTGTTTGGAGGATTCAAGACAAGGATGTAATACAAAACTTGTAGACAAGATGATACTTCTGTATTGTGAACACCTAGTTAAAAAAAGGTTTTACCCCTCTTGAAATACCCCAATCAGTACTTTTAGTACACATACCTCGAAGAATTCTCTCCTCATGGCAACGTAGAAAGTCCCAGATTCTAACAGTGCCGTCGTCAGAGCATGTAGCAAATTTATTATCCGTGGGTGAGAAACTGTTACATGAAGACACACAGCAGGGGAAAGAAGTCAGCATTTAACAGATTATCTATGCTTCTCAGACAGGGCAAAATAATACTTAATGTGTTATACACCGAAGGATGCATTGGAACATAGGGGCTTTAAAGTGAATACAGTGCCTGTCAAATGACACTTCATTACAAGACATGAATTAAGCATAGGATTACTATTGCATTGCAGTCCCGTCAAAAGAGGAAAAATATTCCACAATTTATTCTTAGCACCTTCTTATCTATAACTGCACACTGTAGCACTTGATCTGCAGGATGAGAAGCAACATCAGTATGATTTGGGAACTGACACCCTAGATTTGCATGTTGGGTAATACCATAAGTGACACTGCATAGAAGCACAAGAGAACAGTTCTTAGGGGGAAAAAAAACACCCTCCTCTTCATCCACAGGTGCTTTGCAGCAGAGAAGCAAAAATAAGGGAAAGCTGGTCACAGGAAAATGCTAGCTGGATTAACTGTTGGGAAAAAATGTACATAAAGTAAGTGTACCGCTTATTGCAAAAGTAATTTGGAAAAAATCCTCTCATTACACCCCATCAACACCATGAAAAGAATCCTATAGACACCGAAGCAGCTTCCAGATTGAACAGTCAGTATTGCTTGATGAAAGTCACTGGAAAAGCAAGAGGTTATTTAGCGATGTGATTAGGGCCAGAACATCTCCAGCAACTGAGGCACTCTCTTTCTCGTGCAGTGAAAGACCAGGATGGAGCCCTTGCAAAACCCTGTATCTTTATAATCAGGAAAGGGCTTAAAATAGCAGAGAAATTCAGTGTATGGGCCATGATAGTCAGACTGAATCCAATGTAAGCACTTCTCAAAACCAAACTCTGGCAGAAAATGCTGCACCCTAAAGAAAAATGGTGACTTTAATGGGTTTGTGGCAGTGAACCTTTACAACCAAGGGCCAGCACCTAAACCCGAAGAAACACTGCTTTAACTTCATTTTGGATCTGCAGCTTCTCTTCAGGCTTACTTTAAAAACACTTCCGTATCTTACTAAAGATTATATGCAGGTCTGCTTTAGAAACATCGTTCTTTTACATCTTACTGATAGTATCACTTTAGATTCCATTTTTTTTTATATAGACATTTGCACAACTGAGGCATCAACACTGAACCAAGAGAATACCCTACAGTCTTCTTTTCAATGGCTTGCTTACAGTTTCAAGCTTGAAGAACCCATTCAATATTAACATTAGACTTCTGTATGTGGCAGTCTGCGTGGGTATTTAGTATTACTGGAAGTCTTGGCTTCACCAAGCCAAGCAGTTCTTCACTTTATTTAGTATTTTATTATTTTGTGAGAACTATGCAGGTGTTTTATTTCTGAAGGCTTTATATTTTATTCAGTTAGATTATTAAAGACTGAATTCTTTATTTGGAATGAAATTGTAGTCTTACACAGTGCGTATAAAAAGGAATAACTGATACACATTGTCACCATATTAAAATGAAAAGAATACCAGTGCAAAATGCGGCAGACAAATACATCTCTAACATATTGCAGAGGCGGATACTGGGACAATACTAAGTCAGAAAGGTGCCAGCAAAACGGTGAGAATGTGGAAACAAAAGAAAATATTGTGTTTATGTGGTGCAGGAAGTTTCCCAGAATCTGACAGAACCCATGCATTTCTGCACCCAGAATACACTTAGAGAACAGTCTAATCATGGCAATAGGTACTACAGAAAATGGTATATTGTGTATAAACCTGGCCTCTCTAATCGCCTCCTTATGTGCCTGGAACATCTTGACGTTGTTCATGTTGGACTGCCAGTATTTCACATATCCCCCGTGGTCTGCTGTCAGCATCCACATATCATTGTGTGACCAAGTCATAGCCCTTACAGGGCTGTCATGAGCCTGTAAATTCAGAAAAGAAACTTCTAGCAAACATGTTCAAATACTATCTGACCCACACAAACACAAAAGTTAGTAAAGCTCCCACTTAACAGCTGCAACAAAGAAATGAACACCACGATGATGATCTACTTAGATTCATGCTGTTACTGCAGCAAAAAATATCCCATACTCTCTATACAATGGTCTCTTGAACAATATATGAAGAGTATTTGTATTGTGTTTCCAAAATGGCTCTGTTTTATTTACAAATACTGAGAGTATGCTTTTGAGAACAGTTAGTATAGCATATGAAGATGGAATGAGAAGCATTAAACGAACTGCCTTTAGCCATGGTCTGACATGGAATCAGAGCAGAATACAAACATAAAAGACTTATAAGGCTCCAATTACCACACTTAGACTAGATGAACATGATGAGCAGGGTGAAGATGCTTTCCTAAAACATGCTCCCGAGACCTCAGGGAATACACAGAAATCTTGATAGATGAATTTACCTGCAATATCGTTTCAAAATTGAAAGTCAGTCCATTCCATAAAGTGAACTCTCCACTAGATGCACCAGTGACCAAACGTCTCCCCTCAGGAGTCCACTGCAAAAGAAAAGTATAACTAAACTGTGCAAATACAACATTCAAATATTTCTCCACAATTCTACAAATAAATCATGAGCTTTTTTCAGGGAAACTGCAGAACTGCAATTTTCCTAATGACTTTCTAGACGATGTGAGACAAACAAAAATACAGAACTGTGCCAGAAGGCTTTTGACTTTAATAACAAGAGGACAAAGCCCACTGTAAAAGCAATGAAAAAAAAATGTTGCTGTAAAGAAACAACTTATGGGCACCAGTGCATTTCCAGCACAATATCCATACTAAACAATATTGCTGACATCATGGAAAAGTTAAAAGATGCCATAAGAGTCAAAGAGCAGAGACCAAACTGCCTTTTCTTCTGAGAATCAAGATGTATTAGCCCCTCAAAATGGGGAGAAACAAAACTAAGCAGGAAGAGCACCTCAAACTCAAGTGAGGTATTTATTTTGTACTCAGACCTTCTAACTTTCTAAAACCATCCACAGAAAGACTAGACACAGAAGTAGTCAATATATTCCACATGCTGGTTTTATTTGGAATCGCTATCTTGGAATATCTGGAATATATTGGAATATATTTGGAATTATCTTTTTTCTTGATTCAGTTAAGAATATCACTCTAATGTAAATGAAGACAATACAACTAAGTGAATCCAACACTATACTCACCCTAACAACAAACACTGGGCATTTTACTTTATTAGTAGATGTCCGAACAAATTTTGTTGTTACAGCATTCATAGGGTTGTTCAGCATTCCTATAGGAGGGACCAACTGTGAGAGAACAAACCGAAGATTTAGTAATAACATTTCTAACCAGAAACTGCAAGAAAAGCGTATCTACTGAACACCCATTTTTGGAAAATCAAGTTTTTCATTTGCAGGGATATTATCAAAAGTGTTCAAAAGTCTGCATGATTTACCACCTCAAACATCCAGAACTAGCATCTTTGCAAGCTTAGTGCCTTACAAGTATTCTTTTTTTCCCAAAAATTAAAGCCTAACCAATTTCAGATTCTCTTCTGCCCTAGTTTCAGCTGGGATAGAATTAGTTTTCTTCCCAGTAGCTGGTACAGCGCTGTATTTTGGCTTTAGTCTGAAAACAGTGCTGATAACACACCGATGTTTTAGCTATTGCTCAGTAGCACTTACCCTGATCAAGGACTTCCCAGTCTCTCATACTCTGCCAGTGAGGAGAGACAAGAAGCCAGGAAGAAGCAGTCAGGACATCCAACCCAAACTAGCCAAAGGGATATTCCACACCACAGCACATGATGCTCAGTGTAGAAACAGGGGAGTTACCCAGGAGGCACAGGGGCTTGTTGGGCATCAGTCACCAGGTGGTATTTTTTCGCTTGTTAGTTTCTTGTGTTTTATTTATACTTCCTTCTCCTTTTCATTAAAATTATTATTATGGTTATTACTATATTTTACTTTTTTCCCCAGTTATTAAACTGCTCTTATCTCAATCCACTGTTTTACCTTTTTCTGATTCTCCTCCCTGTACCACAGGGGCAGCCTGGGAGAAGTGAGCAAACAGCTCACTGGCACTTATTTGCCAACCAGGCAACATGTGGGACATGAATACCAACAGAAAAGATAATGCAGAATCAGGATAACCTTCAAGTCTTTAGGGCCTCTTGTGAGCAAGAAAGATAACTTCAGCTGATAGACAGAATCTTTCAAATTTCCTGGAAAAATTTTATGCACAGATAATCATGAAACAGAAACATTTTACTTACATCATTATAATACCCTGCATCAGGCTGTATTGCTCGCATATCTCGCTGGTCTCTCTGCCATACTCTATTCTGGAAGAAGAAAAAAAATCCTAGTTCATACCACCACTACACTTCACTGTTAAACAACAGAAAATAAAGGAACACACTGACAGCTTAATTAGGAAATTCCAAAGCACTCCAAGGATTTTAAATTAACTCAGTTATAAGACTTTGGTCTCAGTACACCTGTAGAATTTGTACAGCATAAACAACAGATTCAAGAATGCTTTAAGTCTTCATTTCATCAGACTAAAGCAGCTCTTCTAAAATTACAGCTTAACAATATGAAAAGAGCAGTCCCATGTAATAAGGCACACAACTGTAACAAAGATGACTGGTTCTTTGCTGCCCAGGCTAATAGGTACTCTAAAAGCTACCAAACTTATTCGAAAACACTTTACATGAACTAAACCTGAAATTATTTCAGCTTTGTGCTGTGCATTTTAACAGTTTGGATCTGTGTACATATTAGAAACAAAAGCTAAAATTCTAGGTAAAACACTTCCAGTAGACACTACTACAGTTTGCTAGAATTTCATAAGCCAAAAGCAAGTTACGTTTTTAATAGTACCACATCAAGTTAACTCAGTCAAATTGAAGCTGGGACCAAACTGGGATTCTGGTGTATCCTAATTTTGTGTAAGGCAAAACACACAGATCTGATTTTTGGTTGTTTTTCCACAAACAGAAGTTTGTGGGTGCTTATTTCTGCCAAAAAAAAAAAAAACACCAAAAAAAATACAAAAAAAAACCACAAAAGGTCCTGAACTACTAATTCTTTGGCGGGGGGGGGGGGCATTTCTAAAACGTAAGAGTATGTTTCAAATGTTTAGTGTCTAAACAGATCTTAGTAGGTATTTTATTATTAAGAAAACCTTCAAACTGTCAACATCTACAAGCTATAATCATGCACATGCCACATAAAATCAATTTCATCATGATCTTGCAATGTTGCCGCTGAGATTCCAACAATCCCTGTATGTATGGATGTGATTCTATTTCTTCTGAGCTAATATCCAGAAAATATTGATCGTATAATTGTACAGTAAATCTTGATCATATTTTTATATTTAAAAAATTAATACTAACCCATCAGGAACATTAAATAAGCATTTTTACAGAAACATTTATTCAACAAAACTTAATTTGAAGTTGTTCTTTAGCTATTAACTGTACAGAAAGGGATCTTCAGAGAACACAGTGCAAGTTACAATGCTATTTAGTAGAATGATGAGAAAACATTTTTATGGTGCCCTGGTTTTGGAGGGGAACGGGGTAACAGTTTATTTCCCATTTTAGGAAATTTCCATGTCAAAAATGGAAATAAGAACAATTACGTTATAGAATGAATTTTTATGTTCACTGAGAAGTCAGAACATCACACAAAACACTCAAGTGCGCTCCAAGTTGAAATTCCAAGACAGAATGTAAAAACTGGTGGATACACACACAACAAATTCAGCTGTGTGCATGTGCAGTTTTATTACCAAGGACCAACCCCTTTTTATTCATACTCTACCAAATTTACAAGCATTTGTCATTTAGTTTGAAACTGCAGCAGTAGATCTTCCAGAATTCTACACTGCTCTTTGGACACTGAAAAGCACAATTACAAATGTCAGGCAAGAAAAGCTTTCCAAACAAAACCAGAAAATTAACTAACCTCCAAATATTTAATTACAGAGGGATTGTAGTCTATGGTCTTCCGGTTCACAGCTTTTCTCATCCGCTTTCCATCAAAAGTAAGCTGTTGCATTGCTTGCTGCTGTGCAAAATCAGGTCTTTTGTAGAACAACTGCCGAGGTGCCTGATGCTGGAACCTCGGCATGTGGAAAAATCGGGGCGGAGAGCCAATTTCTGTGGCCATGGCTGTCTTGTTTCTGGAAGTCTGCAAAAAGTAAAACACTTGTTTACTTAATAACAATGATAAAAACCCCACACTAGTATCCCCACTACATTTACAAGAATGAATGACAACTTCATGAAGAATTGTTTATTGGGAAGAAATATCTGCAGGCTCCTTGAATTATTCTTCCCCTGTGTCACATAACAGTGACAATTAAAGTGGTTAAGCACTTTGCTCTCTAGCAAGAAGAACTCTGTTTTGAAACAGATCACTGTAGTTTGCATCACCACCCCTAAGCTAGAATTGTGTGGGTAAAGAACTCTTCAGTAAAATAAGCATACGTAAATGCAAGAGATGGTAAGAGCATTCAACAGAAGATATTTCACATTCAATACACACCAGGAAAAACCACATTAGTTACAAATCCATTTAAATATTAACAAGGAAAAAAGTTTTAAATGGCTGCCTCAAAACCTTTTTCTAGGACCTGAAAATAAAATTACATTCCCTTTACATAATTCATGGTAAGCACAGCATGGATCACATTCCACCTCCACGTATACTTTCAATTCCTTTACTGCAAAATAAATGGATTATGTATTTATCAAGGTTTGGTGAATTTGTCAAAGTTTGGTAACATCAAACATCACTTTCTCCCAACAAAACCCACTGAGTATGTTCAGATAACATGGGGGGGGGATATTAAACTTTTTCCTGACAGAGGGAATTGAGGCTAAATTAATTTTTCACCCTGTAAAATCCTTTAATGAGATTATAGCAACCTCTTCACAACTGAAAACTATAACATACACTGTCTTTGAAGTACATACTAACTTCATACTAAGCAGTGTTACACTCTGAAGCAATGAAAAGCTCAACCTTGATTTTTGACTTTTACCCCCTATTTTGGAAATAATTTTCAATTAAAACCTGCCATGGTCACTAAGGGAATGCAGAAGTCCAAGCAACCCTCCTTTGTATGAAGGCTAAAGTGTTTATACAAAGTACATTTAATAAAGATTAGAACTAAAACTGGTGGTTTGTTGGTTTGGTTTTTTTTTTAGGTTGAAATGGTCTGTTTCATTCATTACTGGACTTCCCTATTTCCTTCTAGCCTCAATTTGAAAGAGCTGGAAAGCTGGTTCAACTGCCAGTCTTAAATTTGATCTCTTCTTTTTTGACCCAAATAACTAAAAAACATGCCATTTTTTTTAAACAGCAAAATAAAGCCAAGATAAAAGTACTAGACATAAAGGGGTTTTGAAAGTAATGAATGCACAGTTTGATTCTTACTAGGAGGTTCTTTGTAACTACAAGGAGCAGTTTGCATTTTAAATACAGGTCAGATTTCTGGCACAGGGAAGATCACAGGCTTTGCAAACTTGGAAGTCACACACTCCTTTCCACTGGTAACTGAAAGTGTGGCAGGCCAGCTACAAAAGCTATGACACCTGCCTGTTAGCTACACAAACAACTCTGATGTACAAGGGAAAAACCAAACTAATGACATTACAACTGTTCTCCATTCAAGACAAGTCCAAACTAAAACAGCATGTTTCCTTAAATAAGGTAAGGAAATTTAAGACCTTTGGCAGGAGTTTCATCTTTTATTAGACAAATTCTTGCTAACTGGAAAGAGACCAGCTTTCAAACCAACCAATGTTCATCTTGGGGCTGAAAGGCTCACTTGCCTGAAAGCTGCTTAATACCAGGTGGTCTATTAAGACACAACATCTTCCTCCCAGTACCACCACATCCGTAATAGCACTGTAACTCCACAATTACTACAATATTAAGCTCATCTGAAACAAGAAAAAGACATCAAAACTTTCTCACGCAGGAAGTATGTCAAGCACCCCTAACACTATTATAAGATTCTCTTGCAACTTGTCAGAAGGTAGCTAACTTGTACAGAAAGTTTCAGGTGTTAAATCTCAAAAGGTAAATTCTAAAAGATAGTGCTTTTATATCAGAAGATAAAGCAGCTTCTTCAAATGAGCAAAACAAGCTGGCATCAAACATGGAAGGCCATTAATGGCCTTTTTAATGTAGTTTAAAAGCTATTAATTACTCAGGGTGAAAAAAAAGGGGTGGGGGGATTTCCATTACTACTCTCTCTTAAGTCTAAAGATATACACTCCTACACTAACCAGTCCTTTAAACCAGAGGGAAAAAGATATTTTTTCAAAGCCACACATCTGTACTTTCTTACAGGCAACGCAAATACATTTCAAGAACCCAGGCCAAGAATGCAAAGGTAACTGCTGGAGCCTCCACAACCACTTTGATCAGCAGTATTTGCAAGAAAACAAACAAACAAACAAACAACAAACAAAAATGCCTTTTTAGAGAAATACTTCAAAGCAGTAATTTAATTCATTCTCATTTTTCAGAAAATTAAGTCTGCTGAAGAAAATTTTTCAACTACTAACACAGGTGAATAAAGCATTAGCTATGATAAGGATAAATTTATCACAAGCAGTGTCTATCTTTGATTCCCATAAACAATATTAACTTTACATACAATCAACAGCAGCAAAATCTATTGTTTAAAAGGTGACCAAAGGCATAAATACATTAATTACACCTCTTTATGCCTCCAGCCCCTTCCAAGTTCATGATTATCACAGGACAGTATGTGGCATCAGAGCTTCAACAGCCTGACAAGGGAGACGACACAGGATTAGGAAAATGAAGGGTTTATGTTCCAAACTGTTTCTCCAACTTTTTAGATCACTGCCTCTACCACAAAAAGCTTCCTACTTACAGCTATAAATGCCCAAGTCAATTTGCATACATCATATATATATATACATATGAACAGATACATTAAAAAAAGTATATACACACAGATTGAAGTTTCCAAACAAGTAAGCTTTAGAAATGAAGGTCGGGGGGGAGGGTGGTGGTGGGTTTGTTCAGATTAATTTATCAGATGAACCTGGAACATTTATTTCCAAAGGTCTCTACTCCAGTCAAACAAATATACCCATTTAACACTTTAATTACCAGTATCCTGCTTCACCTTTTGTTGCACTAAATCAATGCCTCAACATGCTCTCCTGATACACCTCATACCAACTTAAAAAAGTACTTGATTCAATGTGTCTACAGCTAAAGCTCCCGTTGTACTGGGAACATGAGTAGAAACATGCAAACAAATACCAGAGGACAATGTATAATCCAGAGTAGTAACATCCAATTTCTTTTTTTTTAAGCAAAGTACCGAAGTTATATTTTATTTGGAGTCCATCAACAAGGTTTCAAATGGAAGACTGTGTTTTCCTTAGCACACAATCAGAAAGAACAGCAAGATTTTTCCAAGACCAGTTACAGGTCAGCTCTGCCACAAATATTGCTTTCAAAGCTGACTAGATTTCATACAGCTGGGGGGTGGGGGGGGGGGGGGGGGGGGATGTGTGTGTGTAAATAAAAGTATTTGGGATATACAGAGAGTATGTAATTAATTCACTGAGCAAAAATAGAGCCATCCAGTAACACTAGAAGTAACTGGGCCTAGTTTTCAGTTCAAATGACAAAAGACAGACTTGTGAAATGCAATCAAATTGTGGAATAAATGAAAGCGTATCTAACGTGAAACTGAAGGCAGGATTAGGACCAGATGGACAAAAAAAGCCCAAAGACAAGTCAGAATAAATTCAGTAGGAGTGGGAGCAATTACAGAAGCAAAAACACAATTACAAAAGCAAAAACACTGAGAAGCAAGATCAGTCAACAAAGAGAGAGTAAATGAGAAACCTGAAAAATAGACACAGGTTAAAAAACATGACAAATAAAAAAGAAATTAGTTGAGAGAGAATACGACAGAAGAAACTACACAACGTATGTCAAGGAGCTTGTGATAGTACCAAAGATGTCCACTGCTGTTCCTTAACCATCAAACACACACATACCCAAGGGCAGCATAGTATCACGGAATAGGTGGATTGGTGGATAGAAAATGAATGGGATAATGCATTTAGTAACACTATTATTTTATCACCTTATTTGGGTATAGCTGTTTCTTTGATATCAAAATGAATACCTTGGAAAGTTATGAAAATTTACAGATTTGGGCTTTGTTGCCTGAAATCATACAACCAAAGCAATTCCCATATAACTTGACTAAATAGAGCAAATTAGGCTACTCAAACCAAAATAAAACCACCAAAGTATCCTGCTACACTGTTTTAATCAGGTAAAGCTTGAAGAATTAGAATGCCATGGCTGCTATTGAATGCATCACTTCTTACAGATAGTTCACTACTAAAGGAAAATACAAAACCTGATTTATTTATAATATTGAAAAACTTTATATGGTTTATCAAAAAAAGTAACAATCACCACTAATGATGTGCACCAATAAGAAACTAAAACACACTTGCCAATTAAACTGAGGTGAAGTGACTTGGGTGCAACACAGTAATAACCTGAATACATCAAAAGAAAAGTATGTTTCCAAATGCTAGAACAGAAGGCTGCTCTCTTGGGGAGTACAAGCAGCCAGTGACTTTGCAAACCCTATATTGCCCTTTAAACAGAACAATCTGCAGCTTAAAAGACATTTCCCTGAAATGGCTACAGCAGCAAAGGAAAACAAACAACACCTGAACAAGTGCTAAAACTATCCTGAATCTGTATACTACTCCTTCAAGTACATATCAGATAGTTAAAGCACACATAGGCTTTAAAGCAAGGACTTTTACAGTGTAAAATTAACAGCAAGTATTTACACTGAATAGCACATAGGAGTCTAAAACATCTCAGATATTCAGTAAAAAACTACAACACAATGAAAACCACGACCTCAGCTTTCTGAGCCAGAAGTATAAGAGAAGAACACCACCACGCAGAGTTAGCATAACAAGTTTACTGCTCAATACATCACTAGAAAACACTTTCTTTGATTAGACAAGCACAGTTACATCTACACGGCATAGATACCACTTCAGTAAATACTAATCTCTGAAAAGCTTCACCTCTGCATTTTTTTAGTTGTAATTAAGAAATCTGTAAGCACATCTGAAAAAACCAAACCAACC